ATTAGGGTTACTTCTTTAGGTTAGTAGTCAGGCATCTTGGACATTCCAGGCAAATTTTCTTACCCCACTTTAAAAAAAAAAACTAAGAGGCTCCATAATTTTCATTGTATATGCAAAGAAGACTGCAATCTCCCCAAATTAAGAATTGCTGAATTAGAATTTATTTTTCGAATAGTGAGGCTATATTACATGACCCTTTGATTCACTGTACTCCAGGGTCACACACTTTCAGCAAAGCTCTTTTCCTGCTTTAGAATTCTAGCTAATGGCAATGCTTCCAAATAGAATGTTCTTTATATGTTTAGGTATTCCCAGATCTAAAAGTATACCTGTTAGGAGCATTACAAGAATTTTAGTGAGCTAAGACACTGACTGAAAAACTTAATGTCTGACATAAATCAAGTGCTCAATAAATACTAGCAATTACCTGAAAGTCTATCATATACAGGTTTCTCATCATTCTCAACATACTGTTAATTTGCCAATGCACATTTCTAGAGTATAAGCTCCATAGGGACAAAGTCATTGTTTCACACATAATTACATATCCAACACCTAACACAAAGTGGCACTCAAATATATTCACTGGAACAAATAATTAGAATAAAACTCAGACTGACCAGATACCTCTCTGGTACCAAGTAATTGGAAGGTTATTGATAACATTAATGATGACAAGGAATAAAGGAGAATGAACAAGTATGCTTTGTTGGGGGAAAGAGGCAAGCACTTGAGATCAACTGAATGGATGTATTGAATTTGAGGTAGAAAAGTTAAACCAGAGTTAGAAATGTGCCTGGGACATTTGGAAGTGAAAATGTAATTCTGGCTAAGAATGTGGCTTCTGGAGGAAGGCTTCAATTAAAGTTCTGCTTTTGATGCCTCCTTGCTGCATGATATTGGGCAGATAAGTAACAACTAATCCTCAATATTTCAATGCCAAGAAAGAGAGAGAGAGAGAATAAAAAGAAAAAATAAAGACACCACCACCTGTGCTAATCTCACTGGTTGTTTTAAGATTCAAATGGGGGCTGGGGACGTGGCTCAAACGGTAGCGCGCTCGCCTAGCATGCATGCAGCCCGAGTTCGATCCTCAGCACCACATACCAACAAAGATGTTATGTCGGCCGAAAACTAAGAAATAAATATTAAAAAAAAAAAAAAGATTCAAATGGGTAAATACTGAAGCACTGGAATAACGTTTAGGAAACAGTAAAAGTTAAGTATTATTAAGATAGTAGGGCTGGGATTATGGCTCAGAGGTAGAGCACTCGCCTAGCATGCATGAGGCACTGGGTTCGATCCTCAGCACCACATAAAAATAAAATAAATGTGGACCAAAAGAAGAATGAGGAATGATAGAGTGGAAGCTAAATATATACAATTTTTGAGAAAGAAATAACTACAGAAAAGTGTGGGTTATTGCATATGGTGAGTAAGGACACAGGATTTGGCTACGTGAAGATCAATTACCAACAGAAAAAGTTTTCTGCAAAGCGTTCAAAGGAAATACGAATATATACTTCATAAGGTTATAACGCAGATTGAATGGCAGTTATAATTTTTAAATAACAATCACTGCCAAAATCCATGAATACTCCATTTTCTTCCAAGCCCTAGACCAAATCAACCAAAAATCTCTAGACAATAAGACAAATGTCTACATATATTTTAAAATTCCACAAAGTGATTGTGACTGGCGGTACAGTTTGGGAAACACTGTCCAAAAACCTTACTGACTTATACCTTTGTGGAGTCCAAGGTAAGAAGGCATTACAGAGTTTTAAGACATAATCTGTTGGTTTTGTTCCAAGTTTCTAAGACAAAACTTTTCCCAATATTCTTTATACAGAAAAAAGAAGTAGACAGAAAAGTTTCATTTTATAGTTTACTTATTTATTTATGCTTTTTGGTCCAGGGATTGAACCCAGGGACACTTAACCACTGAGCCACATCCCAATCTGTTTTTATTTTTTGAGACAGGGTCTCTCGAAGTTGCTGAGGCTGGCTTTGAATTTGCAATCCTCCTGCCTCAGCCTCCTGAGATGCTAGGATTACAGGTGTGCATCACCTTGCCCAGTATTCTAAAGTTTCATTTTAATATCTTTTCCAAAGCTAGGGACAATATAATTACATATAAGATTCTACATCAAAATAAGGTATACCTTAACCTTTTCATGTTCACTATGGAACAATTTCAATGAATACTTTAAAAATATGTGTAGACAAAAAAAAAAAATGACATGAAGACCAACGAAACAATAGAAGACATAGCAACCAACCCACATAAATACAGCTATATTAGACAAAGGTGCCATAAACATACATTGGAAAAAAGATCACCTCTTCAACAAATGTTGCAAGGAAAACTGGAAATTCAAAATGAATCACACATGCAGGCATTAGACAAAGCGATTCTGTGCCTACTAGGAAAAAAAAAAAAAAAAAAATAGGCCCCAAAGTAGTTATTATTAGCAAAGTTCTAAAAAACATACTTTTTTTCAGAATGTCTACAATACAACCATTTTCCAGGCATTTATAAAAAAAAAAAAACAGTAGGCCCCAAAGTAGGAACCAACTTCCTCAGTAAGACTCCAAAAGTGCAAGAAGTAAAATCAAGCTGTGGTGGTACAGGCCTTTAATCCCAGTATCTGGAGATACTGGGACAGGAAGATGGAGAGTTCAAAGCCAGCCTCAACAAAAGTGAGGTGCTAAGCAACTCAGTGAGACCCTGTCTCTAAATAAAATAGGGCTGGAATGTGGCTCCATGGTTGAGTGCCCCTGAGTTCAACCGGGTACTCCCCAAGAAAGAAGTAAAACCAAGAATCAATAAATGAGATGGTATCAAACTAAAAAGATTCTTTTTTTTTTTTTAAAGAGAGAGAGAGGTAGAGAATTTTTTTTAATATTTATTATTTAGTTATCGGCAGGTACAGCATCTTTGTTTGTATGTGGTGCTGAGGATCAAACCTGGGCCGCATGCATGCCAGGCGAGCGCCCTACCGCTTGAGCCACATCCCCAGCCTCTAAAAAAGATTCTTTACTGCAAAGGAAACAATCATTAATGTGAACAGAGAGCCTACAGAATGGAAGAAAATCTTTATCACCGTCCACTTCAGATAGAGCATTAATATCCAGGATATACAAAAAAACTTAACACCAAAAAAACCCAAATAACCCAAGCAATAAATGGGCAAAGGAACTGAACGAGCGCTTCACAGAAAAAATACAAATAGTCAAGAAATATATGAAAAAATGTTCAACACCTCTAGCAATTAGAGAAATGCAAATTAAAACATCATTGAGATTCCATCTCACTCCAGTCGGAATGGCAATTATCAAGAATACAAGTTATGGGGCTGGGGATGTGGCTCAAGCCGTAGCACGCTCCCCTGGCATGGGCGTGGCCCGGGTTCGATCCTCAGCACCACATACCAACAAAGATGTTGTGTCCACCAAGAACTAATAAAATAAATATTAAAAAAAAGAATACAAGTTAACAGTAAATGTTGATGAGGATCTGGAGAAAAAGGTTCACTCATACATTGCTAGTGGGACTGCAAATTGGTACATACACTCTGTAAAAACAGTTTGGAGATTTCTCTGAAAACTGGGAATGGAACCACCATTTGACCCAGTTATCCCACTCCTCGGCATATGTCCAAAGGACTTCAGCATACTTCAGTGATGCAGCCACATCAACATTTATAAAAGCACAATAGCCAAGCTGTGGAACGAGCCTACATGCCCTTCAGCAGATGAATGGACAAATAAAATGCATACATATACACAACTGAATATTACTCAGTCATATAGAAAAATGGAATTATGGCATTTGCAGTAAATGGATGGAACTAGAGAGTACCATGCTAAGTGAAATAAGCCATTCCCAAACAAAACTCAATGCAACTTTTTAAAATAGATGCACTACTATGATGGCGCTACTCACACAAAAAAAGTTAGCAGCATAGCGTCCCATATAGTTGTATATCAACAGAACTACACGAATTCTAAGTATTTCAAAGCAGACTGTACATAAACTTACAAAAAACACAGGCAATTTTTACTTAAGCCCTTTGAAAAATTTTTAAAGCCCATTTTTTAAAGCCCCAAAGTATAGCAATGCACAAATCTAAAGCAATGAATTGATTTAAAGTGTCAAAATATAAGTGGTTTTACTTTTTTTTTTTTTAAAGTCTAACCTCACCCACTTTGTAAAGTCAATCAAAATCAAACTGAAGAGACTCATATTTATTTGAGGACATCCTTTCTACATAAATCTAACCTTTCCTCTTTCAACACATCTTCCTAATTATTCATCATAGGTATATGTGACAATGAACAATAATGCTTACACCCTAAGTATGTATGAAGAAAAAGTGCAACACTATTTAGATGCATGTTTAGATTTAATCCGGAAAGGGATTTAAAAATAAACACAAATATTTTAAAAATTAAACCTTTAAAAAAGATGCAGCAATTTTGAAACTCAAGACTTGAGCCCTAAACTAGTAAGAGTTTCCAAAAGTCAGGCATCTCAGCCTATCAAAGATTTACATTAAGAGGAACGAGTCAGGCTCAATTATTAAGAGTCCTAAGAACATTTAACTTTGCTTCACGAGTTGGTACTGTGAAACAAGTATGTCTTATTTCAAACTAATACTAATTATCTTCTCAAATCGTTTCACAAACACAACCGTCTTGTTTGGCTTTGTATAAAAATTAAAGGGATTGGGAGGAAGTCTGGTGAAGGTATTACTCTAAAAAGAAAAATTCAGTGTTAAAAGTGTTGAAAAGTCAGCAACTAAGGAAGAACTAAAGGAAATCCAAGCGAGTAAAGCAGCACCCCAGATAAGTAGGAACTCAAGAGTTGTCGGTGGAAAATGAAAACTTCCCAAGTCGGCCGCAAACTATAGTGCATGGTAACAGCCTAAGAAAAAAGCGTGACTGTCAAAGGGCAACCGCGTACCAAGTCACGGGGGAGGGGGACCAGGCAAGCCTAATCGGGAAAGGGGGGTGGTCCAGGAAAAGAGAATAAACTGTTCTTCGCAGTTCAGGTCCTCGGGTTTTCAATTTCAAGAAGAATAAACAAGAGCAAACTCAGTACACAGCAGCCCCGCGCCGGACTCTCACGAAGAACAGCTCGGCCCCAAGGCCGAGAGGCCGGGGAAGGCCGCCTCCGGAGGAGCCCCCGCAGACGCCATACTAAAAGCCAAAATGGCTGCCCCGAGGAAGCCCGTACCGCGTAGCTAGTAAGGGTTGGGGAACAAGCTTCAGCGGGAAAGGGGGAGGGGGACCCTAGGAAGACCCGTCGCAGGACCATCATCCCCCGAGCCGCACAGGTATGTTCCTCTCGGCCTCCCAAGGAAAGGGCTCGGGCTGAAGGGAATCCCAGCCCCACATCCGCCCCCCCCCAGCCCCAGGCCGGGAACCTCTCTACGGTAGCCGTCCCGCACACTGACCCCAGCAAGGTACCTGCAGTTCGGCCCGCTCCACCTCCCAGTGCGCCCGCTCCATCTCGAACCGAGCCCACTCGTGCTGGATGTAGTGCAGTATCCCCGGAATAGTGTACTGCTGTGGCCGGGACAGCTCGGGGCCTGTCGGGGGACCGGCTCCCTCGGAGGCCGGAGGACCCCCGCCGCCCGCCGCTCCGTTGCCCCCCGGCGAAAGACCCAAGTTCCCCCCAGGTCCCTGCTGCTGACGGGGAGGGGCCGTCATTCCCGGGCCGCCACCACCGCCTCCGGCAAGCTCGTCCATTGTGTGTGGGGCCCCGGCCGGGGCGCAGGGCTAGACGCCGACAGCTGGGGGAAGGGCCGTGGAGGGTGGCCCCGCGCCGACGGCGGGGCGGAGGCCGGCAGGGAGAGGGGCGGGGAGGGGGTCGTTGCTATGTGCCTGCCGTGGGTCAGAGCAGGGAGCTGCCGGCCGCCGCCATTACAATCCCTCCTCCATCTGCCCGTCTCACTCACTCACTTTAGGGAAAGGGGGGCCGCGGCGGGAGGGGGGGAGAGAAGGGGCAGGGTTGGGAAAGGGATAGACGTAGGGCCGCTGCTCCCGCACAGCATGCCGGGTAGAGAACGCCGCTGCCGCCGCACGCTTAATAGCCAAATAGAGTCCGGCCTCACCCTACGCAGGCGCACTGAGGACGCAGTTGATCGCAGTTAGAGGGCGGAGGCGTATGAGCCCCGCCCCTAGGCCCGCCCACAGACGGCTCCGGGTGTTCGTGTAGGCTATGGATTCTGGGGCTCCCTTGGACTTTTTGGCAGCGGGCTGGCCTCTGGCTCCGGGGTTGTGTCCTTCGTGTGGGCAGCCCTAGGGCGTCGTTTCCCAACCGACGGAGTCGGCCTTTTGCTTGCCTTTGGAGCTGGGGTTAAGCCCAGCTTGTCTCTGGCAGCAGCCAATCCTGGATTCCGGACGTTTCTCTTGCATTCCTAGCGTGTTTCAGGCAGTCCCAAAGGGTCAGGCCTCTTTCTGTGCCTGTCACTCGCTCTATCTTAGGTTTCTTAGCACCAGTCAGTTCCCGAGACTTAGATGTTCTTTTTGGGCAAACAGCCCAGATTCTTCCAGCCGTGGTGATTGATTCCTCGTCTTCGTTTGGTCCCATTTCTGTCGAAACTTGTTCCACTTTGCCTCTGCTCTTCTTTCCTAATCTGGGATGGGCTGTGTTTTGGAAGTTTGGTAAGAGGAGCAGAAGCGATTCACTACGTAATATATACATAACCACTCAGGATGTAATTTGAAAGAGATGAATTAGTAAATCTTATTTTATCGTGCCTGCTTTACTGTTATTAAAGTTTAATGAAGAGCAAATTGCTATTATTTATATATGAAATGAGGTCTTAGGTCACAGTACTATTAAGAACTATTTCTCCACATTATTAAAGTACTGATTCTTCATTTATTAGTGACCACATATCACCTGCTTATTCAGTCTTACTCGCTGAGGGCAAGGGACTATAGTACATAAAAAGCTCAGAAATACACAACATGCTGCCTCCATACCCAAATACTTACATACTAAGAAACATTTTGCAAGAGGGTATGGTTGATATACATGATGATAGCATCAAAAGAAGAGGAAGATGCACACTTAAATTTCCCACAGGTACCTTTGGTTCAAGAAAAGACTGGAATATTAGGAAAGGAAAAAGAAAGGAAATTGTTTCTCTTATGTTATATATGTTATTAAGTAATACTATATCTAAAGCCTAGCAGACATTCTCATACATTTTATTTAACTACCACATCCAGTCCTTTCTCCATTCATGACTTATTTTAAATCTTCCTACCTCAACTCTTCCTCCACCTCTCACAATCACTGCCACTTAAGTGGTCTTCCTCAAAGGCAGATTTGATTTGTCATCTTCTGCTTAAAATATTTTAGTAATCTCCAAATTTAAAGCCCAAATTTAAGCTGGCATATAAAGATCCTTCAAAATGGTAAATTGTCCCAGCCACCTAATCTTCCATCACTCATCATGCCAACCAATTCTCTGCAGCCAAACTACTGGCTTTGGTTCCTCAAATGCATAATGCTGTTTCACTCCACAGTGATTTAACACATGCCATTTCTTCCATTCCTCCTTCAAAACTCAACTCCAGCATTACTGTCTCCAAGAAGTCTTCCAGATTGCTCACAGACCATATTTTGTTCTTTATTAATAGTATTCATCTTCATAAAGATGCTCCTCCCCTTACAAAGGGTTACTTCCCCATAAACTCCTCATAAGTTGAGATGATACACCTAATCTACTGAACATCATAGTTTCGCAAACCAGTACACAGTAGAGTGTCACCAAATATAACTAGCCTGAGAAAAGATCAAAATTCCAATATCTCTTTTGTGTGTTGGTAAAGTAAAAAATCTTAAGGTTAACACCATAAATCAAGGACTAGCTTACTTATTACACTATTTAAATCATGTGTGTACTGGTCAGTAATGTACCAAACAACTATGAAAGCTAGAACTGCACATATGAGTATTCAATAAATTCTTGCTTCTTTCAGTTGTGATCCTCCTGTCTCATCCTCCCCAATTGCTGTGCTGGAGCACTTCAATCATTAGAACACTGCAGTGAGTTTCTAGAATTTTGTCCTCTGTAGGTAAAGAACTTTCCCAGGCCACATTATCATTTACCTCACCCAACTGGAATTCCCGACCTAATCTGTAGCTGAGTCATTTCCTCTCTTCTGTCTCACCTTTGAAATTTCCTATTTGTTCTTTTAGTCCTGTTCATCTCTCTTTCCCTGCCCATTGATTCTTTTAGAAAGTCTCTTTATATCTTTGATAAGTTTAGAATAAATTTTAGAGTGTTTTTTCCCCTTTCCCATTGCTAATCTTTAGTACCTGTGTGTTTTTACTTTTTTTTTTTTTTTTTAATTTTGACCAGAGGGACTTGTCTTATTTTATTTACATATATATGTCAACAAAGAATGATAAGGAACTCCAGACTTTTTTTTTAAAACTGTGTTTTTTTAAAAAAATATTTTTTAGTTGTTGATGGACCTTTATTTTACTTATTTGTATGTGATGCTGAGAATTGAACTTAGTACCTCATGCATGCTAGGCAAGCATGCCACCACTGAGCCACAATCCTAGCCCAGGAACTCCAGACTTTTAAATAAGTCAGGAATAGAAAACACTAAGATATCTTCTTAACGAAATATTCCACTATCTTATATATGCAGAGTTTTGACTCTGCCTCTGAGAATTGAATAGCTTCTTGTAATTACTCACCTAAATATATAGTTTTATATCTTCCTGACCACATACCTGGCCTCCTTCTACAAAAAAATTCAAACTGGTTCATAAACACTAATTTAGACATAGGGTTTACATCATCTGCAAAGGTTTTGACAAATATTTTTAGCTCCACGGTGGAAAGAGAAAACTGAGATAAAGAATTCTTGGTCACTTTAGCCAAATCCTTAGTAGGGCAGAAAGTGGTTCCCACTTAGTGAGTGTGAATGTGTATTGGGAAACAAGAAATAAAGTCTCCTTTCACTAAATTGATTCCCACTATTTGCATGTTTGAAATCATTTTTACGTAGTTTAAGTCATTTCAGAGTAATTCAGTGATGACACTGTGCTTACATTTATAAACAGAGAGCAAACAAATATTATAGCCCATAGGAAGATCTTTGAGTAGACTGATGTGTTCAAAACCAAAGGTACAAACTAAGTGACATACCAAACACAAAAGAAGGAATGCTACAGCAGCACCAAGGTAGATAGCTCAGATAGCTCCTTCTCATTGTAGTAATTGCCTGTGGCTAAGAAAATTACGGCAATACTTGTAGGACACTCGATTCATTCAAATAATATCTTGTATGCAAAAGAAAAAGGAAAGAACCTTCAAAGACTATAGAAAAATAGACATCAAAATCTTTAAGAAACTCAGGATGCTATATCAAATTCTAGTCCAAGTTCATTCCGGAGTTGTCTCCTGGGTAATATGAGGCAGAAGAAAAGTAGGCTGTGATGATATTGTATAATACCTAATTCATGGAGATGTCAAAATTGAAAAGGAAAAAAAAAAAGATTGTCTTGAGCCAAGTCTCTCCTGGATATTGGCTAAGAATGAATAACCAGGTCTATAAACATGTTAACAAAACGACTGGAAAAAAAATGTGACTGAGTGGGAAACTGACAAAACTTTTCAACAAGCTTGGAAATATGGTTTGTCTCCCATTGTAGCAGTAGGGGAAAAATGTTCAAAAGAATGATACCAGACATGGATATATGGCCTGGGAATTCTATGTTAAAGACAGTGTTCTCTTTGGAGAATGTTTTGTTGTTTTTGTTTTGTTTTGTTTTGTTTTATTCTGGTGCTAGGGTTAGAACTCAGGGTTTCATGCATGTTAGGTACATGCTCTGCCACTGAGCCATACTCCTAGCCTCTGGAGAATGTTTTGGTAAAATTTAACAACAACAAGAACAACAACAAAAAACACTTTTTACAATAACATGTTTTTAAATGATGGTAACTTTTAATTTTCTTTCTATGAATGGGCCAACCTAAGATACATGACAATATTCTACAAAAAAAGATTGAAAAACTTGTTAGGGACATTTGAAAATAACTCCTATTGCTTTTGTTGTTTCCCTTGTTTTGTATAGCAATTAGATGTTTTAAATATGTTGTATAGGGGCTGGGGCTGGGGCTGAGGCTCAGCCGTAGTGCACTTACCTGGCATGTATGAGGCACTGGGTTCAATCCTCAGAACCACATATAAACAAATAAATAAAATAAAGATCTATCAACAATGAAAAACTTTTTAAAAATATGTTGTATATAGACTTTTGAGGGGGTTTTGTTTGTTTTTATGCTGGGATTGAATCCAG